TTTCCTAAGAAATAACTGAAAACACAGCTGACCTTCAAAACTTCATAACTATATACTTTCTCATAAGTTATTTTCCACTGAAGCTTTAAGTAACGGAAATATCTTGTTAGGAAATGATGACAGACATAATCAAAAGCATGCATGTTCCCACTGTACAAAAGGAGTTCTTATCCTAGTCAAGCTTTTGGTATTTTTTATCCTTGAAATATGTTAAAGTAGACACTATCTGGAATCTGAGTCGCAGTCACAAACAAGAACATACTGTCCAATCTGAAGGCCTTTATCCTAAGAAAATATTAAACAAGACTCAGGCGATGATGAATTGCATAACTTGTATGTTCCTGTGGAAGTGAATAATACTGAAAAGTTAAATCTTTCAACTTTAGTGACATTTTCTCTTGCTAGTAACATTTTCTAAAATCCTGTGTTCTTCAAAGCATTCATGTTCAAAGCTGAAAATGTCTTTATTGAACAAGTAGCTTCCAGTGGTTCTGAAAGCAAAATGAAACAAAAAACTTGAGCCAATTATTCATACTACCCAGGTCCCTTATCTCTTTATTAAAGCTTTTTCCAACAGTGTATGTAAATAACCCTCCATGAAAATTTCCAGTGAAGGTAATGAATTGGAAAGCGCCATGGGCGCTCAGATTACTTACATATGAATTCCATCATTCATTACCGCTTGAAGGAACACTTGTTCATCCTGTACCCACCAAAAGTGCTGTTGAAAAAAATAATGCTAGTGATCTGTTGCCCATTATTTTCTTACTGGTGCAAGATCGGGCCCTGGCAGCTTCTTCTAATACCGACCAAGTCTTTAGATTCCAGTCTGACACCAAAGTCTGTTCCCACCCTTGCCAGACAATTCCCACATCTCCCTGGGACCAGCTAATGCATTCAGGGAAGGCTGCAGGAGCATGACAGAGACGCTAAGACAAGTAGTTTTGAATCATGCTAGAACTACACATTTTAAAAGTACAAAGAATTGAAAGCTTGTTTAGTGACATTATTAGTAATACTGAAGTGGGTTCATTTTCCCAGTCCATGTACTTTACTGTATTAAATTTTATCAAGCAAGAATATCCTTGAAACAGAACTAAAAACTGTGTTAATGACTAAATCTGATAGACACCAAAACTTTCATTCTTTCATGTCTTTAATATTCTAAATCAGTTTAAAAGTCTGAAAGGTGCCACCCAGAGCAGAAATATGACCTTTCTGAAGTCACAGAACACCTTATTAAAAATATGCAGAATCTTGGCCGGGCGCGGTGGCTCATGCCTACAATCCCAGCACTTTGCAAGGCCGAGGCAGGTGGATCACCTGAGGTCAGGAGTTCAAGACGACCCTGGACAACATGGTGAAACCCCATCTCTACTAATAATACAAAAATTAGCCGGATGTGGTAGTTGGCGCCTGAAATCCCAGCTACTTGGGAGGCCGAGGCAGGAGAATTGCTTGAACCTGGGAGGCATAGGTTGCAGGAGCTGAGATGGTGCCACTGCACTCTAGTCTGGGTGACAGAGAAAGACTTTGTCTCTCTGTCTCTCTCTATATATATGTACAGAATTTCAATCAAGCACTAATCAAGGCAAATGGTATCAGAGCAAGACCAATTTATGGTTAATAATCCATGTTAAAGGATGGGTTACTAGCAACTAACTGTAACTAACATTTATTGGGCACCGACTTGGTACTAAGCACCATTCTATAACTTTTCTCGTATTATCTCATGGATTCTTCATAATTACTACCCATTAATTAGGATCCTATTTCACAGGCGAGGCAACTGAGGCACAGAATGGTGAAGGCAGGGGGCTTACAGGAGGATGAGAACCTCTAATCAGCGAGTGGTAGAGTGAGGCTGGACCCCTGTGATTCAAGCAGTTCCGCCACAGATGCCTCCGTATGCTGTTGCCAGCAATAATATGAATACTGGAAAATGAGGCTCAAGATGGAGGTTGTAAGAGTTTTCATAAAATTCCCTTTTATGATGGTTTGCTATCTAGATCACGGTAAAACAAATAAGTAATAGTTTTTTCAGACGGATGACAAGAACTGTGGGTTTACTTTATGTCCCAGTCACAGATTGCATTTAGGGACAAAGAAAATTCTCCCAGGGTGATTGTACTCCTTTCCTAGGGCTGCCATAACAAAGTACCATACACTGGGTGGTTTAAAACAACAGAAATGTATTGTCTCATGGACCTGGAGGTCAGAAGTCTGCAACTGAGGTGTTGGCAGGGCCATAAACCCTCTAAAGGTGCTAGGGAAGGATCTGTTCCAGGCCTCTCCCAGCTTCTGGATGTTCCTTGGCTTGTGGCAACATAATGTCAATCTTCACATGGTGTTTTCACTGCATGTGTGTCTGTCTCTGTGTCCTTTTTTTTTTGCCCTTTTTTTTTTTTTTTTGAGATGGAGTCTTGCTCTGTCGCCCAGGCTGGAGTGCAGTGGTGTGATCTCGGCTCACCGAAAGCTCCACCCCCTGGGTTCACACCATTCTCCTTCCTCAGCCTCCCGAGTAGCTGAGACTATAGGTGCCCGACACCACGCCCGGCTAATTTTTTGTATTTTTAGTAGAGACGGGGTTTCACCGCGTTAGCCAGGATGGTCTCGATCGCCTGACCTTGTGATCTGCCTGCCTCGGCCTCCCAAAGTGCTGGGTTACAGGCGTGAGCCACAGTACCTGGCCCAGATTTTGCCCTTTTTATAAAGACCTGAGTCATATAGGATTAGGACCTCTGTAATGACCTCACTTAACCTCAATTACCTCTGGAAAGACCCTGTCTTCAAATAAGGTCACATTCTGAGGAACTGGGGGTTAGGACTCCACTATATCTTTCTTGGGGAGATACAATTCAACTCAGAGGATGAAAGTGCAGTTTGAAGCCGTAAAGTAACCTAGACAGATTTGGAAATAATATGAAACATAGAGATGAAGCTTATCAAGTTTATAATGCACACAAGGCCCAGCTCATTCTGGAAAATGTCCCACAGAATCACTGCAAGTGTAGCACTCTATGGGTAAGATTTGCCAACCTCTGATTTAAGGTTTCTAATTCACAATGAAAGACTTCATTTATTCATTCAAAATAATATTAAGTGGCAAGTATGACTTAGCAGGTGATTTTCACGACTTTGTTTACCTACCTAGAGTTCTACCTAACAATGTCAAGAGGGAGGAATAGGGATGGTTAACCATATCTGTAACAGAACTGTTCCCCTTTTTTTTTGTTTGGTGCAAGGACACATTTCATTGTTTTATCTTTATTTTATTCATATCCACTTTTTGTTGACTAACTCAAGTTTATTTTAAATCAGCAGATAATTCAAAGTCACCTTTTAGATGACTGAGATTTGCTTCCATCCATAATTACAATTTCCATCATAAAAGTATCAACCTCTAGTGGACAAAACATGTTATTCTACTTTCTGGTAAGGACAAGAGTAACAAACCTGATCTCCATCCCATTTTCTCTGTCAAAAGCTGTAACAAACAGCATTGCAACCAAACGTGGACATGCTCCAATGCCTGCTCTCATTTGTTGTATAGATTAGACTAATGGTTGTTTCATATCTATATTTTTTAAAAGGGTAACATTTATTTCTGGAGATCAAAGAAAAGTATTCTATGTATAATAGAAAGTACTGTCTTAAAAGTATTTGTTTGGATATACTTCTTTCTTTTCTTTTCTTTTTTTTTTTTTTTTTGAGACAGGGTCTCGCTCTGTCGCCCAGGCTGGAGTACAGTGGTGTGATCATGGCTCACTGCAGCCTCAAACTCCTGGGCTCAAGCTATCCTCCTGAGTTGCTGGGACTACAGGCATGTGCCACCACACCTGGCTGGATATACTAATATCTAATATGTTTAAAGAAGTACACAGTTTAATCAAAAGAAAGGAAGTAAAAAAAACCTGAACAAGTAGTTTAGTGAAGAATCACAGACAAAGATACTAAAGGATATAATATTTTATACAAAGTCCAGTGTTCAGTTCTTGGCATCCCATGGGGATCAATAAAAGCTAATTCGTCATTAGGAAAATGCTGACAATGACAGACAGGAATGAAACTCCCATTCCCAGGTTTCTATGCTTCTGTGTCATTGGAAAATTGTAGGTAAAATGTCATACAATTAGGCCTCCCTTAAAACAAAATTGGGACTGAATACTGGTTATAATAGGGAGAGAAGCATTTGTATCTCAGTTAGAGGTACTTAGAAATGGTCTGGTGAATTTTAATAGGAGAGCACAAAATCTGTTCTAGTTCTTTCTAGTAAGGTGGTAAGAAATTTAAAAAAGAAAATTCCTGTTTTTGACTGAAGATAGAAGACCTTTATCATAATTCTCTGACCCCATGGACAGGGCCTCAACACAGAACCAACAGGAAAACTGTAAGTGCCAGGCATTTCGTTATTCTGTTTAAGTTCATGTTATTTAAGATCTGGGACCTCCAGCACCAAGGACGTCTCCAAGATGTGTCCCAGAGAAATGGTAAAAGTATTTTAGGAACCTAGCAGTCTCAGGGACAAGTCCTGGTGTAGAGAAAGCAGTACAGGAAGTAGAGTCAGGCAGATTTGGATTGGATCCTAACAGCAAATTACTAGTTGTGTACCACGGAACAAGTCAATTAACCTTTTTAAGGTTCACTTTCGTCATATATAAAATGAGTTTAACACTCTGAGGGAGTAGATTAGGGCATGCACACACACAAGCATGCACACATACACGCTCTATTTGGTAGAGTGTCTAATGGTTAATAAACAGAACGACGTTAGGATGAGCTTTGCTCTAGAACAAAAAAAAGTCTTATACTAAAACAACTCCAGAAACTAACATAAGGGAGGTGCAGCATCCCCCATAGCTTTTCCAGGCTTAGGACTGGATTTGGAATATTACCTGTAGCCAATGAAGAATTATAAAATTACTTTATATATTAGAGAAAAAAAATGTAAAAGGCAGGGCAAAGAAAGGAAGCATGAAGAGACAGAGGCCTGAACTTACGTCGTTCTTCTCTGTGCCTCTCAGTCTCTGCAAAGTATTGGCGGAGCTCTTCGGTGATTTCCATATTGCTCAGGTCACATTCTACCTCTGCATCTGACTCAGTCTCCATCTCTTCTTCTTTGGACAAAGCTTGGTCTTCTCTTGTGGATGCCTGGATCCTACTGCTGTAATGTGGATGCTGCCCAGACCTTCCGAAATGTGAAGAACTGCAGGGGTAGTCCTGCCAGGCCAGATGATGGTCATAGAAGGACTGAGGATACGCAGCCTGGTTATCGTAAGAGCTTTGGGGAAGAAGTGCAGGAGGGAAGTACGATGGAAGACTGAAACAGGATTCCACGGCCTTCCTGTAGGCATTGTGATGGCTTTGCATCCAAGCCATTGCTTGATGATAATGTTGCCAGTATCTTGCATATACCGGATGAGAATACCAAGGCCTGGTAGCTTTCGATGTTGATGCCTACAAAATGAAAGGAGGTGGAGGGTGGACACCAAAGTGTTTATCCTCAAGAGAAATCTTCAAATGTTTAATCTGCTACCCAACAGGTATTTACTTAGTATTTGCTAAATACCTACTCTACATGAGGAAGCTACTGGGCCCAAAATTGTGTGAGACAGGACCTGGGCCACAATGGACACCAAGTGTATGCACACTTGATAAGTCCATGTACATGAGGTATGCACAAGCCAATTAAAGGTATGGAGCATTATAATGTGGGGATGAAGGCTAGTGATCATTTCTAGATGAGATGCAGGGAGAGAGAAGACTGGATGTTAATCATCTTGGCCCTCTCTACCCACTGTAATTAAATGTCTAGTGCCAACTGAGCAACGGCCTGCTAAGAACCACACCAGACTGATGAGCATGACAGACTTTAGTTTTTCCCTTTCTGCCCCCTAAACTAACTTGCTGGCCTGGGCCACCCCTAAATGCCTGGGGCAAGAGATATCCAGGAATGCACCCAATAGTGCTTTTACTTTTTTATTTCTTAGGTCTTCTCCATCGTGGAATGAGAATACCAAACTTTAAAGACTAAAATTTACCTTTTTTACTCACGAGCTCAAAAAAAAATTAAAAAATAAAAATCTTACCTTCACTGCTGCCATCCCCGATTGTGAAAGTCCAAATGGGTGTCGAAACTAGGAAAGAAGAATCACAGTGCAAACGTCTGATCAGTATGGCTGTGTGATATTTGTGGCTATTTTGTCATTTGTGAGGCAGCTCCCAAGGAGCTGCCTCTTCCCAGGACCATGCCTGATTTCATGCAACCTATCTACAAGACGTTGGTTCCTGGGCTATGACTTTGTGGTCTGAAAAGGAGGGATCCCCTTAGGTATGATTAAGTGGGTCAAAAGATCCTGCATGGTTCAATTACTTATTTCCCTATAGGAAGTAAAGTCTATGAAAATGACCATATAAATATTTAGTAGTTAGTGTATATGTGTGTATATATATGTGTATATATATGTATGTGTATATACACATACATACACACACAATATATAAAACATGAACTAAGAATTTACAGTTATTACTTTATTTACTAATCCTTAACTCATGCTAATGCTTACTTAAATTAACCCTGGGTCTTCCTGAGGCTTGAGTGGAACACATCTTTCCAAATGACCAGAAACCTCTGTTGGGTCTTGCCTTAGGTCTGGGACTTGGAGAATAAGACATCTCTCCAGCCTCAGCTGTGCCCTGGGCTTTAAGTTCCCCAAATAGGCTTTGTTTTCATTTTGATTGCAATATGCATTTCTCAGCCAGCATGTGACATCACATTCTCCTTGCCTAACCACCCTGTCTCTTCACAGGAGAAGAAACCACACCATGGAGTCTCTACTGAGGCACCACATAGTCTGCCCTGGGCAAACAGCATTGCTCTGCTGAGATTTACTCCTTTTCTCTCTACTCACCTGTTGTGATTTGCCGCATGAAATGCCCAAAAGTAATGGCTAATCTGCAGCTGTACCTTTTTCAATCTATTTAAAATAGACTGTCAATTTTTTTTTTTCTATTCAGAGGTTCAGAGCTACACCAGAATGTACTTTTAAAAAAGTTAAACAAAAATATCCAAAAATGCACGAGAATTTAAGTTTCTGTGAGACAAAACCACTAACACAATGTAATGCTGAGCAAACAACTACTTAGGTTTTGAAACTTTGGAAATCAGATACCAAAGGAGTCTTATTTTTCCTTTTCACTTAACTATAGGGTAGAATTAAAAAATTCCCCAACTCTTAAGAAACAAACTTTACTTGTTTTATAATCTCTATCAGATGTTTTGCTATGGTTATATTAAGAACTGAGATGCTAAATCAACCACTTCTATATTTGAAGATTTAGCTGAAAGAGAATCATTCACATTCTTTTTAAATATAATAAACTTTCAAATAGGGTACTTCTAAGAGGGCTGACATAACTTTCATAAATTTATCTTAAACACAGTCCATAGTTCCTGTTCCTTGTCTTAAATTCAATACTATGTATACATGCAATGAATATAAACTGAAAAAGTTAACAAATGCAATGTAAATTAAGTTCACATTACTTTTAATCTATAATTTTAATGTTTTAAAGGTTTAAAACATGAACAAGTACCTGAAAACCTAGCTAACTGCTATGTGCTTTACAGGCCACTGAAGAAATATGGAAGTTAATACTTAGGTGGCTTACCACTCAGAGAAGTAAAACATAAACGAAATTATGTAGAAATCAGTATGTACTTAAGAGCAAAACTGTAAGGTGCAGCCTTTAGGTGGCTAATTCACTAGAACCAGGTTTTATACTTCCTTTTTTTTGAGCCCAAGTCTCACATTGTTGCCCAGGCTGGTGTGCAGTGGGGTGATCTCGGCTCACTGCAGCCTCCGCCTCCTGGGTTCAATCAATTTTCCTGCCTCAGCCTCCCGAGTAGTTGGGACTACAGGCATGTGGCACCATGCCTGGTTAATTTTTGTATTTTTAGTTGAGACGGGGTTTCACTATGTTGGCCAGGCTGGTCTCAAACTCCTGACCTCGTGATCTGCCCACCTCGGCCTCTCAAAGTGCTGGGATTACAGGCATGAGCCACCGTGCCCAGCCTAGGTTTTATATTTCTATCACTAAAATCTGAATAATTTTCTGAGAGCCTGCAGGACATAATGACATTAACGCAAACTGCTGTGTATCTTAATCAAATTTGTTTCATAGATTAACAAGCAGCACAGGAATTAAATTAGAAAAGTCTAGGAGACATCTGCATGTGTTCTGGAAATTAAGTGTTTTGAATCTACACTTCTTTCTATGCATCATAAGGCATTTAGAACCAGGTCAACTAAAATATCAATTATTCCAAATTGGGAAGTGTGACAGCCTCAAATATGGAATAAACACCACTGAGATCAAATACTACTGTAGACAAAATCTTGTTTTTAGTTATAATTGGGAAAATCCAGTATGGCATTAAAGGTTGTAGCATCAATATTCTGAAAATCCACCAGATGGCTAAGAGAGGCTCCATTTTACAAAGCTGGAAGTTTAGGCATGTGGGATAAAGTAGACTACCATTTAAGGAGTTCAAGGGTAATTGATGATGTTCTCCAGGCTGCTCAAATGTCAATGGCTGTGATTTAGAGGGAGGGGCCAGACACTGTGGCTCATGCCTATAATCCCAGCACTTTGGGAGGCTGAGGTGGGTGGATCACCCGAGGTCAGGAGTTCAAGACCAGCCTGGCCAACATGGTGAAATCCCATGTCTACTAAAAATACAAAAATTAGCTGGGTCTGGTGGCGCACATCTGTAATCCCAGCTACTTGGGAGGCTGAGGCACAAGAATTGCTTGAACCCGGGAAGTGGAGGTTGCATTGATCTGTGATCATGCTACTGCACTCCAGCCTGAGTGACAGAGAGAGACTCAGTCTCAAAAAAAAAAAAAAAAAAAAAAAAAAGGAGGGAGGAGCACTAGTTTGAGGAGAGGTAACTCTGATCCAACAAATCATCTGGTAGAAGGGCTGCTATGTTAGAAAGCCTCAGAGATCACCCAGGTACATCCTGAGCACTTACGTAAGAAAGAAGCCAAGAGAATCAGCTGAGATGACTGAAGAAAGCCAGTTACAGCTTCTGAACTAGAGGCAGTTCAGAATAAGCCCAGAGTGCTCACTATCTACATTAATTAAATATATTAATTCATCAGCTAAGGTGCTAGACTCTTAAGACCCAGGACATTATTAAAGGATGAATTTATGTTAATGATGGAATGCAAGCAACTCTGTAGGCAATTTTGCTTTGCTTTGATTGTGCTTTCCTCACAGTTTTGACCACTGGGATATTTGTAATCAAACTTGCCGCCATCTTCCAGCAAATTTAAAGTCCTGAGGCTGTATGTAGACTGTGCTCATCTCATTCTTGGCTTTATTATTTTCTCTCCCTAAATCCCAAAACCTACTTGTACTTGTAATATCCTTTTACATTTTAAGTCTTTTTAAGATTCCTAAAATCCTGTATTCAAATTAACCAATTTGAATAATTGACTTGAAGAATTACACATTAGTCTCTCAAAAGTCAAATAAGGCATAGAAAAACATGTCTAAAGGAACAGCAACTTGCATAGAGCTTTATAATTATTTTTAGCTAGGTCTTTCCAGTACTATTACTTTATGCTAGCATTTTTTTTCAGTAAAGGGCGAGATAAATATTTTAGGCTTGTGGGCCACATACAGTCTTTGTCACATAGTCTTCATATTCTTTGCCTTTAAAAGAAAAAAAAAAACACCAAAAAAACACACCAAACAACTCTTTAAAAATGTAAAAGCAATTCTTAGCTTTCTTGAAGTACAAAAAACAGGCTGTGGGCTTTTATTTTGCCCACCCCTGTTTTATGTTAACACATTTTGAAGTTGTATAGATACTCTCTGAATATACTGAGCATCCTAATTGTTCCTCACTTTCCACTTGGGAACCAGTAGAGGAACTTCATGATTCTCACATGTTTCATAAATGATTAGGTTTGGAGAAAGACTAGTGGAGGCAAGAAAACTGACTATGACCAATAGCAATCATGTTGACCGGTTGCTAATATGTGGGACAAAAAAACACTCTCCATGACTAAATAAGGAAATTGGATCTTTTCTTAAATATCCATATAAACATTTAAAGACTTAACTAAAAACAACAATAAAAATTCTGCAAAACCATATCAATTGGCAGGGCTTAGAAAGCAAACAAGACAGAGTTCTGAATCTCTATTCCCTGGAAGGAATATATATTCTTTTCTGCTAAGCAATCAGTTAGTCAGTTAATATCAGTTAGCTCCCAAGGGAAGAAGAGGTCCTCTTCTAAAGATGGGTCCGATTAGCTTTTTTAAGCTGGTTATTTTCTTCACACATGGAGAACTTAAGGAGCTAGAATGCCTGAGTTTCTGAAAAGCCAACATTTAAATAATTATAGACATTATAGCAACACCTTCAGAGACTACTACCTCTCAAAGAAAAGAGAGTTGATGGTTGCTGCAGATTTAGACGCCCTTCGGTCTTTAATGGTCTTTAATTCGATCTTTCATTCCTCACCTCCCTGGGAACGTCTCCCACTCTTTTATGGCACAAGCCTTCAGGGACTGAACAGTAACTTTTCTCCGAATGGGCTGGTGGAGCTGAAAGAAAAGAGATTGGCAATGTCAGGGAAGGCTGGGATCTGCAGCTCTACAAACCCGGCAGCCCTCTCCAGTGAGCACAATGGCATAATGGCCACCACCCAGCTGAGCCCAGGCAAGTACAGAGACCATTCATTGTCTGTCCTCAATCACCAAAGAAGGAAGGAAAAAAACAGGGTTGAGGTCATTCACTAAACATTGACGAGGCCTACAGGCAAGGCAGAGACTGAGTCTTGAATGATATATTTTTCCATATAGTCTCTCGTAAAAAACGGATTTACACTTCAGTACATCTGCTTACCCCGAAAGATGTATTTTTAATGCATAAATATACATAAAGAACAATAGATAAGAACTTTGTAGTTTTCAATGGATAAAACGTGACTATTTCCATCAAGTTACCCAAAAATTTCACAAATAAGTGGCTTTGTTGACAGGTAGTGCCATCAAATATATTCTTTTAATTACATACTTATGTTCTTATAAATATAGAATATAGGACACATCGTAGCAACCAAAAAAGTAAAATAAAAACACAAATTCCCCTAAAAACTAGAGTGTATACTTGAACTAGATATTCCTATCTTCCTTTTCTACTAGAATTCTAAAAATACATGAAAATTCACCTGCTTTGATCTTTGCACAGAAACGCATTAAAAGTCAATCATTAAATAAGTTACTCTGGCTAAAGCCCTGAAAGTCAAACCTTTCCTACAAAGCTCCAGTAATTTGGTTCTCTGAGCCAACCAGGTAATTTGGAGGATTTAGTCAGATCTTCAGTACACACTGTTTCAAGGAGATCTGCTGGGCACTGCAGCAAAATAAGTGAAGGTATGGTGAGAAATCTGAGTGAGATACATTGAGTCATATGCGGTTCTAAGAATCTCTCTGTACATGCAATAATAACCCTATCACAGAAGATGTCTTCCACTAATACACACAACAGTAAGAACTTCCTCACTAAGACAAAGAATATAATAGGGTTTTGTTGAGGGCCGGGCTTCCTGCCCCACCTACTTAGGCAGCCCTGCCCCCATCCCTGGCTAGTTGCTGAGGCTGGCAAGCTCATCTGGCTTGATGCCCTCATGGGCTCCCTCCTGTGTCTTTGCATGGTCCCTGCTTAGTGATTTGGACATCAAAGATGGCTCAAGTCCAAACGGACTTCTTTCACCTGCAGGCATCCAAGCTCCATCTCGGGCAGGACAGAGGCCTATTCAAGTGCACATGCCACTGTGTTCAGAAAGCCTGCACCTCCCCGTCTATAATAGCTACAGTTAAAACTGATGGGCAAGGCAGTCAAAAAACTGAGTTTTATTTTATTTTTATTCCCTGAATCCCCAACCCCAATTTACCCTCTTCTGGATGTTGTAATAAGTACTGTCACAAAGAAGGCATAGCAAGGGGAAGGAGTAAGACTGAAAGGACGTAGTTAACAATTCTTTTTTTCATACAAATGACATTCCACCCACAGAAGGGCATTGTTTAATTTGTCAGCAAGTGTGATGAATTTGTGAATGGATTTATTTGCAAGTTCTCTGAATCTCCATGTGACTAATATCAGAATCAAAAGTGAAATATGAGGCCAGGAACAAAGTTACCCTCTGACTCAGGAACACAACAAGCAATGGGGTGACTGAGAATGACATAATGATAACACAGTTCAAAAGAAGAAACAGATAAGTTTGTTTCACAGCAAGCATGTCCTTCATAAGCAAAACCTAATGTGACCATAAGGGAATAGGGTTAAATAGGCAGTTACTACAAATTAAGAGCACAACAGCAAAAACCATGGGTAGTTTAAAGTAGTTAAGATCGCTAGTACATTTCAGGAGTCTTATTTCAAATTTACTTTTTTCTATAAACATATTCATGGTAATTCCATGTTAATCTCTCTTTTCTGAATTTACAGGCACTTACTATGCCTCATTCACTTGGGCACTTACTCAATTACCTGTAGGCATGGATTCTACAATCTACTTTTAAGTTTCCTATTTTCCTTCGAGCATAAAAATAAGAGCTAATATTTCACGCTCTTAGATGCTGTTGAAATTGTTGTTGAGCTTGTCTGTTGTTTCTTGATAATGTTCTCTCCTGCTACATCTATTCCCCAAAATCACTGAGGACCTAGTAACTCAAAAACTGACTATAAAGCACCAAATCTTTTCAGGAAGCAAATATTTAAATACATTATGTTTTCAAGGATCTTTTCAATTCATCTGATATTTGATCAGCTACATTCTTTTTTCACTTGTCCAGCTGTTCCGTGGCTGAATTTCCTCTTGTAGAGAAGTTGTTCAAAAAAAGTTCTGTACCTACTTTGCAAACTCTCCAATTTACACTCTAGCCTTAATTGTTCAAAACTTTCCCCCATCATTCTCATCTCATCCTCTCCTTTAAAAAAACCCCAAAATGATTAATCACCATCTATATAACAGTTTCAGAATGAACATTTCTCTCTGGAACTTTAGTTTGTATACTTCCCCAGTACAGCAATGAACACAGAGGGGATTTATATACCTGTGAACTTGATTTCAGTTATGCTTATTCAAAGTTACTAACCAGCAGTCTTTAAAAATATATGGTTTCTGTTCACACTGAAATTCCAGAGACTGTTATTCTGATAAATTATGCTAGCAAAAATAGTATTTTTAAAAGGTAGCTTTCATCCTACAATTCATGGGAGCTGTGAGCATACATAATCCCAGAAGTGTTGCATTACTAATCTTTAGTCTAGATTTTTCAAGTAATGTTGTTCTGATTTGAGATGAAAAACAGCTGAATGCACAGCCTAGACTGTCAAACGAGTTTAAAAACATCATTCCTGAAAAAAACAAAATTGTTCAGAACCATCTAATCTGTACTAAGGGAACATCAAGATTTCAGAGATAAAATGCACTTCATTGGCCACTGGTTCAACTACAGCTCATTACTGATAAGTGGGCACAGACACAAAGCCCATAAACTGTAGGCGCCAGATGTCTCAAGATAACTCCCACCAAAAGCTCTGACCTCCTGCAGAGGTTAAAGTGCAACAGAAAAGAAAGAAATCTCGAATTTTTGAGCAGACAGGCCAATATCCTAGACATACTCCAAGTATGTGGCTGTCCAGGGCAATTAGATTCAGATACTGGGCTGGATGGGCAAAATCCAAATTCACCTACAGACCTTAACACAGTGGTTCTCGGCACGCCAGAATCACCTGGGCAGCTTTAAAAACCACCGAGGCCAGGGCCCCACTATTAGAGACTCGGATTTGTCTGGGATGGGGGCCCGGGGATCAGAATTGTTAAAGAGTCGTCCAGTGATTCGGAAGCACTGTAGAGCTGAGAGCCTCTGGGACTGGTCCCCTCTCACAATTAACCTGCAATGATTTAGGAATCTCATGGGCCTCTGGCCCCACCTTTTGTCGCGGGGTTAACATAATTATGATAGCAATGTGACGTCCAAGACCTCGGCTCTCTGCGCATAAGAAGCCAGGGCCCGGGGCCTCTAAGCTCCTCCCTCACTTCCCAAAGGAAACCCAGCCGTCCCCGAAGTCACCTCGTGGGCGCGCAGCTTGCGGATCCTGGGCGTTGGCCGAGCAGGGGCCTGGTTTTCCTTGGAGACACAGAGGGGGAATGGGGACACGAGGGGGGCGGCTGTTGCCGGGGCGACTGGAAGCGCGCTTCCGGTGCGGAACACGTGGCGCGGCGCGCCGGAAGTCCCCCCTGCGTCGCGGACGCCACGTTCGCACCGCAGGCGGTGCTGTGCTGGAGGCCGGAAGCTGCCTGCTGGAGGCCGGAAGCTGCCTGCTGATCGGCTACTCCGAGTGGATCGCCTGGGCGGCAGGCGTGGGATGGCGGCGGGTAGCGGGGCTGGAGGGGAGGGTGCTGCACCCGGCAGGGCGCTGGGACCGCCGCGGGCACCCGCGCCGGGGGTCGGACGGTGCTGTCCCACCGGCGGGTGTGTTGCTTCTGCATGGCCTGGGTCTCAAGCCTTTAACTTTTTGTCCTTTCCTCAGCTTTCTTCGTTTTCCTTCCCTTGTCTTTACTTAGCCTTCTCTTTCTTCCTTTCTGTTTTCTTTCTTAACTAAAACAGAGTTTTAGTTTCTTTCTTTAATTTGTCCCAGGGGAAAACGCCCAGGCTTTGAAAATAGATTAACCCAGATCTCAGTTTGAGTGCGATTCCAGTGCTAGGTAAAACCTCCCCAAGCCTCGTGTTTCTCATCAATAAGATATGCATAACCTAATGCGCAGTGCCTGATGCATTGCAGCAGACAAAACATTAGTACTTACTAATATGTTTGTAATTATAACCACAGCAATACCTGCCCTGTTAACAACACAAGAATCATTAATAAGAACCAAGCATAAACAATTAGAAGTCTTACGTGACATATCATTTCTGGGGCAATTAATCATATTTAATAGTTTCTGGGAATTTATTCCAAGGAAAAACAGGTACGAACCAGGTGTTTATTACAGAATTATTTTAAAAAGTGAAAATTGGAAATGACTTAAATGCCCAACAAGAGAATGGCTAAGTCAATTGGGTGATATTAATGACGTAACATTACTATGTTATTCCTATGGTATAAAAGAATTAAATGGTATAGAAGAATATAAACTTGAACAAATATTTACTGGATGCCTATTATGTGCCAAGTATTCTGTGTTAGCACTGTCCGTTGTAACCCTTACATGTGGCTGTGAGAACCTGAATTGTAGTAGTCTGAACTGAGATAAATTACACTACAGATTTTGAAGAAGAATGAGAAAAAGAATGTAAAATATCTCATTTTCTTTGTAGTGATAACATCTTAGAGAAGGACTATTGAGGTTAAATACTAAAATTTCATCTTTATATTTTTACTTTATTAGTGTGGCTACTAGAACATTTAAAATTATATGTGTGGCATGCTTTGTATTTCTATTGTACCGTGGTATTCTATTTACCAGATACACAGTAGTAAACAATACAGTTTTGGGGCTCATAAAATTAAATCTTTTGTGTAGAACATAGACAATCAGCAGATAAATAGAATTGTATGTTGTGGTGAGTTATATGAAGACAGTATAGCAGGGTAAGGACCAGAAAGTATATGTATATAGAGGGGGATTATTTTAGAAAAGATGATTCCTCCTCCTCAGAAAATGGATATGGGAGGAAATGAGATACCTATGGATAGAAGCAGGAGATGGTAGGAGGGTGATGTCTTGTGGGAAAAGTCAGGTTTGGATTGAGAGAGATAAGTCAGTTGGGGCCTGGTGGAATCTCTACCTGAAGGAAGAAGCCAGCATCTAGAGAGGAAGGAAAGAAAGATGGAGAGGGGTAAGATAGGGAGAAAGAGCTCAGGGGGTTCCTGGGAAAGGCAGAAGGATGCAGGCCTAGAGTGGATATAGTTCAGGTAGAGCAATTCCTGGTTCTATGAATGAAAAAATACAATATATGTGGTATACTATGGCATTAGATAGAATATTAGTTGGCTGCTGTCACAGAGACCCAGAAGAGGAGTGGCTCAAACTGTTGAGAAGTGTATTTCTATCTAATGGCAGTCTGGGTGTAAGGAGTCCAGAGTATGGCAGCTCTACCTGTCTCATAGCTCCACCCTCCCTGGTTTCTTGCCTTGGCCCACATGGTCCAAGATGGTGCACCACTGCACCTTTCAGCCAGTGGGAAAGGGAAAGCCAGAGGTATGCCCTTTACCTCTAAGGATTTCTCCACCTTGGCACTATTCACATTTGGATAATTCTGTGTTTTGGGGGTTGTCCTGTGCATTGTAGGAGTTTTAGTAGCATTTCTGGTCTCTACTCACAAGATGCCACTACTGTCTCCCAGTTGTGACAGGCAAAAATGTTCTCAGACATTGCCAGATGTCTCCTGGGCTGGCGTGGGGGGGCAAAGTCACCCCCAGTTGAGAACCACTGCTTTAAGAGTACTACCCAGAGGTGGCCCACAGCACTTCTGATCACTTCCTACTAATGGCCTGAACTTCATTACTTAGCCCTCCTAAGGGTAAAGGAGCTTGGAATTGTCTTTTTCAGATGGCCAAGTGCCCAGCTAAAAGTTGACTAAAGAAGAAAAGAAACTAGCTGATTCTCCCATACCCTTGTTGCTACAGGGAATGGAAATTTTGTAGCTGATTGAGGAGGTAGTCCTGTTCTTTTCATCTTTAAGTCTGAGTTTTAGTCATTACTCACTTTAACTCACTTGCATAAAAATACTGGTGGTGGGGAACACTAAGCACCTAAGGAACAATCCTATTTGAAAAGAATGGGGATTGTTACTCCAGGGGGTTGACCAGGGAGAGAAAGCGAATTTTGAAATGGAGGCTAGAGGAGGTTTGATTTTCACTTGTCGTTTAGCGCCATCTGGTGGATATTTACAAATGGCAATTCCTCGGTATTTTCTTTAATTTTTCTCAGGCATACGCTTCAAATTTTAAATGGATTATGGCAAAACTTTAAAGAATCCTGTCAGATGAGGAACTCTAAACATGATCTCTCACTTTCGGCACTATTGGCATTTTGGGCTGCATAATTCATTGTGGGGGCTATTCTGTGCATTGTAGGATATTTAGAAGCATTCTTGGCCTCTGCCCACTGGATGTCTCTCCCTGCCCCCATTTATGACAACCAAAAATGTTTCCAGCCATTGACAAATGTCCCTAGGGTGAGGGTGTGGGGAATGGCTTCTGGTTGAGAACCACTCCTTCAAACAAGGCATCTAAAATCCTAGTGCCTGTTAAGGCATAGTAGTCCCCTATCAGTGTATCCTGGTGTGTCTGGAAAGGATGGGGAGGCAGTGCTGGGAGAAAACGGCACCAGATGCAGCACGACATGTCCTCTCGTTTACACTTTGGAGATTTTCGCTCCTGTTTATCTCAACCAAGTAGAGATTGAGGGAGAGAAGCCAAAAGGCATGGCTAGAGGATGTAGTTTCTTTAAAGGACCTATGGTAAGGAAATATATAGAGGTTATTACCTAACACAGGAAGTAGCACAGACGAATCTCAAACTCTGGTACTGGGGCCCCAAAGTTCAGGTGTCAGGTGTGAAAATCCTGCCAGCCGTGGGAAGCCATAGCTAATCTCATGGGGCTTTTTGGATCCTCCCCTGTCCCCCAGCTGGGACCCATCTGCCACCTAAGTGTTGTGAAGAAACAGCTTGGGAACCAGTCCCCTTACCCGGATCAAGTAAGTGGTGCTAAACCACCTGCAAACAGGAGTCCTGAATTCTTACTTTGAAGTTGGGTAAACGAAAGAACAGTTTCCCAGGAGCACTCGCTAGCAGGTCCTCGCTTCAGGTCCGGCTCAGGTCCTCTGCCATAGTTTCTCTTTGATTTCACCTTCTCAAGCCCCTTCCTCACCAGCCCCAGACCCTTCCTTTCAGCAGATGACCACTTCCTATTGACACAATTGAGATGACCAGGCACAGATTTCATCACCTTGAAATGTATTGCCATCTGCACTCACCGTGCCTCTTGGTTTAAAGAGACACAATGAGTGCCTTTGCTTCTGCTTAGGCCAACCCAGTCACGTTGTTATCTGGATCCAATTCCATGTCCTCACAGGCACCTCATACCCTCAATTGTACACCTCTCATATCATTGCCTTTCTCTTTCCTGGATTCTTCCCCATCAGCATCAAACTGGCTCAGGTTCTCTGATCTTTAAAATCATTTGGGCTGATTTTTCACTCCCCTCTCCTCAGCTTTCTATTTTTCCACCTCTCTTTTTGGTTATACTTCTGTAAAAAGTGAGATACCTTTGTTTCCTCACCTACTTTCCACTCACCCCACAGCTGGTTCTCTTTGAGCATGTCCATTCTGGTACAACTGTCTCACTGGCATCACTGCTGACTTTTTCCATCTACTATACTTGGGCCTCTCTGCAGTATTTAATACTATAGTCCATGCCCTTTTTCTTTAAAATTACAAGATTTTCTCTCCCCAGACTGCAAAGGTAACATGTGCTTAATGCAAAAAAGAAAAATACAATAATAAAAACGCAAATCTTGGACAACTGAGGCACTTAAGTTCAAAGGAAAACAACAAGAATGACTTGCAATGCCATTACTTTAAAATAACCATTCTTTAGGATATAACAATTATATATATATATGCATTCAATACTGGAGCACTCAGATATATAAAGCAAATATTATAGAAGCTAAAGAAAGAGATAGGCTCCATTACAATAATAGCAGAAGATTTCAACACCCCACTTTTCAGCATTTGACAGATCTTCCAGGCAGAAAATCAACAAGGAAATATAAAACTTAATATGCACTATAGACCAAATATCTAATAGCTATTTAGAGAATATTTTATCTGATAGCTGCAGAAGACACATTTTTTTTTTCCCTCAACATATGGATTATTCTCAAGGAGAGACCATATGGGGGGGTCATAAAACAAGTCTTAAAACATTCAAAAAAATTACAATGATATCAAGTATCTTCTCTGGCCATAATGGAATAAAACTAGAAATTGATGAGGAATTTTGGAAACTATTCAAATACATGGAAATTAAACAATATGCTCCTGAATGACCAGTAGGTCAATGAAGAAATTAAGACAGAAGTTGAAAAATGTCTTGAAACAAATGAAAATAGAGGAAGAGGCAATGCTTCCAAACTCATTCCATAAGGCCAATATTACCCTGATACCAAAACCAGGCAAAGACACATTTAACAGCAACAACAAAAAGAATACAAAAGCTACAGGCCAATATCCCTGATGGATATTGATGCAAAAATCCTCA